GTCTTTCTTAAAGATAAAAATTTTTGAGGCGAAATACCCAAAAAGAAGTTTGTAAAAAAATGAATCCGCCTCAACAATATAGAACTTATCTCTATTATCCATGTCTAAATATATGGGTTTATAGCGTTCTGTGACGTCTTTCAGTTTCCATTTTTCATCTGTCTTGGGCATTCCATCGATGGTCTTCAAGCTCGCTGTTTGTCAGTTTCCTGTCGATATATCCTCTTCAAATCTTTCGCGGTTCCCTCTCTTGTCTGCCCATTCACCACTGGCTTCGGGATTAGGTGTTCTAACATTCTTTGTTGTGCGTTGTCGCCTGGACACTCTTCGCATACGGCGCCAGAAATAATTTTCTTCTGCTTCTAGGCGTTTTTCGATCGCTTCATTCAATGGTCACACTTCTATCTCGGAGGTGATTGTGCTTTTTACAGTCGCGTTAGAAATGAGATTGTTGTTCTGTTTGGTGAAGCTTCTGTCCCAAAGTGGTGCTTTTCAGATGGCGAGCGCATTTCTGTCCTGGCATTTTCGGTGTCGAATGGTCGCTCTTTTTGACTGATTTTGACTCAGAAATTTATTTTTTGTTTTTTGGTAAAATTTTTTCAGGGATCTCCCAGTTATATTTCGACTCAGATCGGTGAGGTACAGCATCCTGGTTACAAAGCTTTTGATCCTATGAAGCCTGGTGTTATCTTCATTTCTGAGTGTTTGTAGACACTCTTGATGGCTTGGTAGATCTAAATTTAAGTTCAGTTTCTCAAAATTGTCACGGAATTTTCTTAATAGAACATTTCCTTTGGCTTTTCCAGCTCCCCAGCTAAGAGATGGATTTATTGGTTGATTGCCATCTTTTTCTCAATAACTTGCGTTGGAGTGAATATTTGGTCCACCACTGATCGACCCGCACAAAATCCAGCTAGTTCTTCTGCTTCCATTTCTTGGTATTCTTTTTCTATCTTATTTTTCAAATTTTTTCCGTACATTGCATGTGATAATGCTTGTGATCACGATGCCCCGATAGTTTGCGCATCTAGACGTCTCCCATTTTTTGAATATAGCGCTCATTTGCGTTCCATTGCTTCCAAGAATGACGTGGGACCAAAAACACATTCTTCTTGCCTATTTCCAACGAGTAGTACTCGAAAGTATTCTGAAAAATCGAGTTTCTGAGCCTTTTAATTTTTTTCAATTTTCTGAGCTTCTGATTCCTTCGATAGAAGTCTTTATTCTTTGACACCTTTTTCTCATGCATCTTTTTTCTTTTCGCACATTTTCCTACTCTCCAGTGCTTGTGCCCCTCTATATTCTGATTGATCTTCTGGCTTTTTGAGTTCAAGTATTTTTATTTTTTCTCTCCTGTCATTTATTTACTGTCCTCATTCCACCGAAGCTATTTGTTCTGATTGCCCTTTTTGTAACTTCCTGATGTTTTTTCTCATTTTTCTTCGATCTCTTTTGGTATAACTTTCTTCTGCCCTGTTTTTCGAGGTTTTTCAGATTAAATCGTGACTCGTCATTATCTTCTCTATTCTTCGCTTCCTGTTTGATTGTCTGGAGTCTGATGTTTGATCTTAGTTAGATTTAATCTTAGTAAGCAATTCCAAATGTTCATTATACATCTTCCACCCTCAACTTTGTTTGCTGTTTCACTCCTACACAGTCTATCATGGATTTTAGGTTTCGTGTATTTTGAATCCCTGTGTGATTCTGAATCTCCTTGTGTTGACAGGAGCGATTTAATATTTTTGGTCGTTTTGCGGTCACATTGCGTCTTTCTCCGGTGTTTTTAGTTATTTCTCGATCTCTTCCATATTTTCCTATTCGCCTATTAAAATCTTCAAGAATGGCATATTTTTCTGCACTTTCTTTCCACTCCCTGTTCCCCGGTTGCTTCTTTAGGCACGCCGCTATGGAAATGATCGTGTTTTCCCAGGCAGAAATAAATAAATAAATGAACAACGGGCAAAGAAAAAAGTCGTCGAGAGGGCAAAAGAAAAAGCGGACACTTTTAATTGAATTAAAATTTAATTTGAATTCAGATCGGTCTAATGACACTCGGGCGTAATTGCAAACACTGAATAAATCCCTTGAAAAGATCCTCGTATTAATTATCCGCGACAGACGAATTGACACAAATAAATCGGGAAATTAATGAGTTGACAATGGGAACCAACAATTTGTTTCCGAAGTTCCACGTCGGTTTCTTTACAGAGTTCAGACAGGAATCGCTCTAAATTTAGTTGGGGAATCGTCACCTATAATACAAAGAAGTAGACTACACCGCGAATGCACAAAACAACTGATTTGCCTGGATAATTTAAAAAACCTTCGGAATAGTCGGCAGGCATAAAACCCCAACAAATCCCCAGAAAACAGGCATTTTAATGAGCCGAACCGAAACTGTGCCAACGAAATCCCGATACAAATTTTTAATTCACTCCGGCGAAACTAATTTTTCAATTTAAATGCGAACGCAACTTGAGTCTCTTTAATATCCTGTAAATTCTGAACAAACAGACCTCGAGTAATTGCGCGCCTCGGCTCCCGCTTTCTTAATAAACCACTTGACACCACCCTCCAACAGATTAGTGGTGAAGAGGAGTTTAATGCGATTTCCTCCCGAAGGTCTCTTCCAGAGAGTGATGCTGTTGAGTGGCACGGCACTGAGTTCCTGGGCGACCGTCCATAATCCCGATAGTTTGCGGTTGAGTGTTGGCAAGCAGATGGGCTGTTTGCCTCAAGATTCCAAAGCTACCGATGGAGCGGACATTGCTCCTTGCATGAGGTCCAGGTTAGTAACTTTTGGTTTGTTTAATTCCACAGACAAAAGGGGAATATTTGATTGCAGGCCGATTGAAGCCATTCAAGAGCTGCAACTGGATAGTGTGCGCTTCATGCCTCAAATCGCCCCAGCTCTTCCAGTCGACCCAGAGTCTTCGGATCCGGATTTTGCGATGGAGCATGCAAGCGACTCCTTCATAACTTGCGAAGTGATGCTGGGAATCACCACAACGGAAAGTTATGCAGACTTTAACGCCAACGATATCCAGTATGGGTTTGAGGAGGACCATCGGAACCGAGTGCTGCGGACTTACATCCGGAACACTTACGTGTACCATTTGAACGAGATTTTCAGTGCAGTGAGGAACGAGTACACGGACTGGGACAAGCCCATTCCGCATCCCATTAATATTCGGGACTCCACCATGGAGGCTCTAAGTGATGGGCACACAGTGGCGCCGGCTGTTCGGGTTGCTTTCCTCCATGCCCGGCGGGGTGCCAAGACGTACTTTTTCCATTTTGGGTACCAGACGAAAAACAGCGACTATCCCCAGGTATGAAAATGAAGAAGTATGGGTTTGGCTCGATTTTAACTGGAATTTGCGGACTTATTACTCAGATTTTGGTTTTATTTGGCAACGGTTCCAGTTCCGGATTGCTACTGGATTTTGCCTTGAAGGGCGACTGAAAATTATAAAATTTTACCTAAAGTTTTATCACTTTTTGTCAAACCTGTTACTGGGTGATTTTCATCAGTGAAAATCGTTAAAAGCTAAAACTCGCACTTTTACGCCATTTTAAAGATAAACATTTGTCTGATTACGGCTGCAAATGTCGATTTTCTCGAGAACTTTCCCCACTTGTGCTAACATTTGTAGATTTTTGTTTATATTAATGCATCACATTTGCACCGATTTGTGTTAAGTTTTCGCCATTTTATAGACAAATAATGGCCCTGATGCTGTTTTTGCACTTTTACGAAATATTTCCAGTTTCAAAGTTGCACTGTAAATTTTCCACCAGTTCAGTCGCCACGGCATTTTCGAAAAATTTTCAGTTCAAATTGCGATTGGTTATAAGTTGTACATACTTTCCTTACTGTGTTTCAATTTCAAATCAAAATCAATTCCTGGGCTTCAGTCATTCATTGTCTCTAATTATCAATTAAAATACGTTTTGGTGTCTTCCACCATCATCAGCTTTTATGTGTAGCGTTGTTGCTACTTTAAGCCTTGGCATATATTTGAAAATATATGCCAAGGCTTAAATGTAATTAAAGCTGTATGAAATCGACGAGTACCGATTTGCTCAAAAAGTTCTTTGATTTTTGCTAAATTTTACAACTCTGAAGATGGTAATTGTAAAAAAAAAGTTTTCGCCATTTACTAGGCAGATAATGGATCTACTGCTGTTGTAAATGTCGACTTTTCGAATAATTTTTCACACTTTTACGAATTTTCTCTAGTTTCAATTTTTCAATTCAATCTTCTTCATTTTATTTGTCTGGCATTAAAAAAAATTATTTCGAATTGCGCTTGGTTAAAAGATTGATCTCATTTATTTATTGATGATTGATTGATTGATTGTTGTTGACCTTACTTATTATTTTCTAGAAGAAAGGTTGCTTTGCTCTATGAGATCTCCGAGTACCTATTTGCTCAAAAAGTTTCTGGATTTTTGCTAAATTTTGCAACTGTGAAGCTGGTAATTGCAATATTTATTGCGTCAAGTTTGCACCGATTTATTTCAAGTTTTTACCATTTACTAGATAATAAAGGCTCTACTGCTGTTGTAAATGTCGATTTTTGGAATAATTTTTCACGCTTTTGCGAATTTTTTCCAGTTTCAATTTTTCAATTCAATTTCCCTTCATTTCATTTGTCGGATATTTAAAAAAAAAATATTTTGAATGGCATATAAAAGGTTGATCTTATAGATAATTTTATAGAAGAAACCTTGCTCTATGAGACTTGCAAATACCGTTTTGATCGAAAAGTTCCTCGATTTTTGCTAAATTTTACAACTCTGATGCTGCTTTTTAGCTATTTATTGTTTGAACGGATTAGTTCAACATTGCCTCACAAAAAATATTTTGCGTTTTACCCTATTTTGTAGACAAGAGACGACTATAATGCATATGTCGATTTGCAAAAGCAATTTCCACACTTTCGCTTATTTTTTTTTGTTTTCCCCGTTGCACCTACATTTTTTCTTTCGTTTGATTCGTCATACCGTTAAATTTGATTTTATTTCAAATCGCAATCGGTTAAAAACTTCGTATTTAGATCGTTTTCTAGAGCAAATATTGATCTCTTTGATGCCTCAAAATGCCGATTTGCTCAAAAACTGTGACAATTGGAGTGATGATTTCGATTCCATCTCCCATCTCCCCAGATTGGTTCAAAATTTTATCACATAAAATTGGTAAAAATCAAACATCAAGTCTTTTCCCCATTTAATGGACCAAAAACGGCTCTACTGATATTTTAAATGCCCATTTTTTCAAGCAATTTCCACACTTTTGCAAACTATTTTAAGTGTGCAAGTTACAGCTGTACATTTTGCACCATTTTATTTGTCGGGTGGCTGTCAAAACAGTTTCCTCTAAAGTTGCGGTTCGCTAAAAGGTTGCGTGAAAGGTAATTTTATAGAGGAAACTTTGCAAAGACCAATTTGCTACAAAAGTTTCTCGATTTTTGCTAGATTTTCGAAAAGTTGGTAAGTTTGTTTGCGAGTTTATTTTATTGCGTTGTTTATTTGGAATTTCTTTAAAATTTTATAACACAAAGGGGTTAACAATAAAAAATCAAGCTTTTTTACTATTTTATATCCAAGCAACAGCTTTACTGCTATCTGAAAAATTTTGAACATTTTTATAAATTTTTTTAACTTTGAAAGTTGCAACTGTTAATTTTTCTTCAATTGTGACTAGTGAAAAGGTTGACGATAGGTAATTTTCTAGAAGAACGCTTGCTACATGAGGTCGATTTTCTGAAACAATTTCCACACTTTTGCTCAATTTTTAACAGTGAAGGTTCCAACCGCAATTTGTCTATCATTTCATTGCTCAGTCCTTTTAACAATATTTTCATTTCAAATGGCAACTTGTTGGAAAAGATAGCTTGCAAGCCATTTTCTGGAGGAAAACTTACTCCGTGATGTTATCAAATACCGATTTTCACGAAAAATCCCTTGATTTTGCCGAAATTATAACAGGCGATTTTTAGTCCACCTCTCATAATTTTAACACCCAAAATTGTTAAAAAGCAAACAACTCACTTATTCGCCATTTTATGTACAAAAACTGACTTTATTACTACAGCAAATGTTTGTTTACTCTAACATTTTCGTCACTTTCGCAAGATTTTTCACAATGAAATTTGCGAATGCAAATTTTTCTTAATTTGCCAAAAATTGCCCTTTCAACCTGCGATTGGTTAAAAGGTTGGCCTGTAAGTCGTTTTCTAGAGAGAATCGAGCCGTATAAGACCCTTCAAATGCAGAATTGCTCAAAAATGTCCTCGATGTTTGGCAAATTTTACAATTGCAAGGTTTGTAATTGCGATTTTCCTTCAATGTCGTTTGAATACATTTTTTCAAACACTCCATTTCGCGAAGAACTGGAAGATTCACGTCTACGCTATGAAATAGCCATAACTTTACTGTACGCAGGTTGAACAAAAAAAAATATTAAGAATTTTTCCGATTTTTACCAACATTTTCAAATTTTAAAGTACGAATTGTTTTGTATCAATAAATACTGTGAAGAGATAGAAGATCACAAAGCTTAATGAAGAAAAATTGCCTCTATGTCGCCCTGAAATTAAGATTCAGGTGAAGGGTTTGATCAATTTTTATTAAAATTTTCCAGTTTGATGGTATAATTACAAATTTCCTTCCGTCTCGTTTGTACGGATTCTTCAAAAAATTCTTTTTAATAGCCCGAGCCTTGCCCTACAGATGCTCTAGAAGAGAAGTTATTCAAAAATTTGCTAGAATTGTGCCCACATTTTCCAAATTTCAAATTTATGCGTCAATACGAAGTCATGATGAAAAGTTTATGTTTGCACCCTTAAATGGAGAAACCTTGCCTCTATATGGCCTAAAAGTGGAAATTCAGTCAAGAGTTTTAGCGATTGAAGCCAACATTTTGCAATGGTGTAAAAAATGGGACTCTATTCTAAGAAGAACGAGGAGGTCCGTGCTTACGTTTTTCAATCGGAAAAACTTTGCTCTATGCTTTTAAAAGGGAATTTACTAAATACTTTTCTCGGTTTCTGCAAACATTTTTGACCAAACATTTTTTTAAGACATTTTCCAGATTTTTTCAAACATTTTCAAATGTGAAGACTATAATTCGCAAGATTATTTTCGATTATAATGATTCATTGCCAATCAAATTCACCCCACTCCATGAAGAAAATTTTGCTCTATCTGGCTTTGAAATGACGATTCAGTCAACAATTTTTAAAATTTTAAAAATTTCTTCCGAATAGTTTGCAAAGAAATATTTCTGCTGCTCAAGACTGAGTTGAGGTATCAGACTGATGTTCTCGTTGCTTTATGCAAAAACCCATGCTCTATCAGGTTGGGAAATGACGATTTACTCAAGAAATGTCTCGAGTTTTGCCAAAATTTTGAAATTTCAGTGTTGAAATGGAGTCCTTTCATCTTACGAAAAATTACTTACTGAAACTCGACTTATAGTGGCAATATCTTTGCTCTGCTTTTGCTTGCGTTTGATCTAAAATTTATTTGATGTTTCCTACATTTTGTCCTAAGTTTGTTCCACACCATTTGCAAATTTCTTTTAAAAATTCAGATTTGCAATTTTACTGAATGAGCAGACGATGTGCTAGACATTAGGACAAATCTGGATCGGAACTCCGAATTTGTACCAAATTCAGACAATTTGGAGATTTGCATTTTCCGACAGTCGAAAGTTTTTAAAAAATTTTCCTTCCGTTTGAAAATTATGTCGCTTAAGACTGGGGCGAGGTAAAGATCGATATTCACGGCATTAAAGAAAAAAAACTGTGCTCTCTGTGGCCTGCAAATAAAGATTCTACAAATAATTTTGTTAATTTTTGCCAGCATTTTCTAGATAAGATGTTTTACAAAAAAGACTGGTTAACTTGCTATTGGCGATTTAATGCCGATTTTTGGCCTTTGTAAGATTTGGTTGACTAATTGTGGACTCAAAATTCAGATACCAATTTAACTAAAGAAGCCTCTGGACCACGCATTGCTCTATTTGCTCTCTTAAAATTGACAAGTTTTTCTTACATGGTAGATGTCATTTTCCTTTTACCTCTGTTGCAAAGCGACTTTAAATTGGTAACTTGAGGATCAGACGTGTCCAAAGGCTAGTGTTGAAATTGCTCGATAACTGATACTTTTCTCGGTGCCGGCGACAGATTTTAATTTAATCTATAATTTCCTCAACTTTTTGACAATTTTTTAAGTGTGAAAGACGCAATTGGAGCTTTTCTTCATCGGTTTTGTGAGCTTTTTGCAACAAACTAGAATTCACGCCATTTGATAGAGGCAACTTTGCTTCAGTTGCTCTGGAAATGTTAATTGGCGCAAGAACCTATACGATTTTAATCGTCTAATAAAGAATTTTTCCCTATATTAAAAAAAAATAAATAAAAATATTTGCGTTATTTTGCAGCAAAAGCTTTGCTCTATCGAAGAGGGAACCATTAGCGCTCTGGATGGAGCCAGAAAACACGTTTATCTTGTGAAACATTAATGATAATCGATTGTAAACTTTGATTGTTGAATTTTGTCCTGCGTTTTTAGCAATTTTATATATATAATTTCTATCGCAAAATTGTGAAGTTCGATGGCTTTTTGCAATTACCATTCGTCTCTAAATCTAGCAAAAACTCACCCAATTTACCTTTCAACAATTAACAAAAATCTATACATTTTAACCAACTTTTCTGGTTCTTAGCGCCTAGGCAGCGTGAGGGGCGAAGACTTAACTTACATATTGGGGCTGCCGCTTGTAGGAGGACTTCCCTACTTTCCTCAGAACTACTCGAAGCAAGATATGGGCGTGTCCGAAGCGCTGCTGAACTTTGTGAGCAATTTTGCTAAGAGCGGCGACCCGAACGCTCCTGGCATCCACAAAGAGGCACCCGATTATGGTACCCCTAGGGAGAAAACTCGCTATCGAGGCCTGACTTGGGACCCGTATGAGATCGGTACTCAGTACTATCTGAGCATAAGTAAGTGTTGAGATTTTTTCCAGTCAATTTCACAATCAATGTAAAATGGGCCCCATTTTACAGCTTTTTAGAGAAATTATGTTTAAGGAAAGTGTTTTGACTGGTAAACAAACTTTTGCCTTTGTCAATGTTCAAAATTCATTGAAGGTTGAGCTCAAAACTTTTACTGTTTTTTAATGAATATTTTCATACATAGATACATCTTCAATTTGGCCCAAACGAGAATCGGTCAAATAGAGAAAAAACATACAAATAAACAAGCAGCAAACTAAACATTCGCAGGAATTTTTGTTACTTTTTCAATGTTCCCCGGATTTGGGCCATTAAATCTCCAAATCCAGTTGATTCCCATTGAAGTAGATGAACCAGAAAAGTCGTCAACGGAATTAGAAAAAAGGGCGGCTTAACCGAATGCCGAAAACCCAATTAAAAGTTTCCCAATTTCCAGATAACCCCAGCTCCCCCCTATTTCTTCACTATATTCATAATCTCTTAATTGCGTTTGCTGTACATTGCCATCAATAAATCAAAAGCAGTGGCGCTACCGCAAAATACTCCGCAATGTGGCTGGTTTCTTAAGAAAAATCGCTATAAATAATGCGATTTAATGGACCCCTTTGCAGGTTTTCTAATCAAAAGTGCCACAAAATCGGCAACGCGGCAATTAGATGAATTGTAAACAAGCACACAAAAGGGTTGCAAATCGTCGCCGCCAAATAAATTTGAATTTTTCTAATGCGGAAATTGCCCGCACGCAACATTTAAAAACGACTTTTTCAAACGCGACCCTAATTTGTCGACTTTCCGGCGAATTTCACTGGGTTTTGCCAAAACGGGCTTTATTGCGCGAAAAATGCAACCGAATCACACTGCACTAAATGGCTTCTGAATTTGTGATTGTGCCTGGTATGGGGCACTCGGTAAAAATTCGTTTTTTGGATCTACTAAACACTCAATTATTTTGCAGAATTTTTGCAACAAATTTTCCATTTGCGGACTAAAATTGCAAGTCCGACTTCGACGCCAATTTTTAGACAACACCTGCTCTTTTGTATTGTGAATTTGTCTTTATAACAATATATTATTTTAATTTCAAAGACTGAAATTGCAGTGTTTGTTTAATCTCAAAATCCTCAAACGTTTTTTAACCGGGACTTTTACGCCATCCTATAGACAAAGGGTTATTCTATTGATATTAGACAATTTGATTTTCTCATGCGTTTTCCCGACTTGTGCAAAATTATTGTTAATTATTTGTCGATTGCTGCTGTAAATTTTTCTGAATTTCATTTGCCAGGGCGTTTCCAAACCCCTCTTAAAATCGTAACTTTTGAGCTATTTTATAGGGAAATGATGCTTTATAATTCCTGCAATTTGCGAGAAAATTTCCCGGATTTTTGCCAAACTTTACGACTGTGAAGCTTGTAATTGCGGTTAATACTTTTTTCGTTTCTGCGGATTGTTCCAACATTTAAATGCGAGATTTGCTCCATTTTATAAACAAAAGGCAAACATGGTTCAATTGCTTTTATAAATGTCGACGCGCTTATGAATTTTCCACACTTTCGATTAAATTTTCATACTTGAAAGTTGTAATTGCTATTTTTCTTCCCCTTCATTTGTCAGGGAGTTTTCAAAGTGTCCTTATTTAAAATTATGAATAGTTAAACTGTGCAGCTCTGAACCGTTTTCTAGAAAAATCTCATATGCCAATTTGCTCACAAATTTCTTGAATTTATTATCAAGATCCTTCAAAATCTCTTGATTGAGAATAGATGGAGGGTTCATCTTTACGCTCTATAGAAGAGGCAAGTTTCTGGCTTCGGAAATGGCGAGTTAGAAGATCGGATTCACACCATTTAATGAAAAATGCTTGGCTAAACATACATGGTCTGGAAATGAAGATTTACTAAAGATTTTTTTCCAAAATTGTCAAGTTTCATTGTTATTACATTTTTAAGTTGGAAAAATTTGAGCTCAAGAGTGGCTAGAGCTAGATGGTTCATGTGACACATTTCAAATTTTTCAATATTTCAACAAATTTCCAAACATTTTCAAATTTAAGTAAAGCTTATTAAATTCTTTATCCGTTTGCAAAAATTATTTTGTTTAAATTTGTACTCAAAATTAAAAATGGTTTAATTAATAGCAAACATTCTGCTCTAAGCAGATTGCAGAAAAGGATTTACTCAATCATTTTCTCGAATTTTACCCCCAAAAAGTCCCATTTTTCGTTCATTGAATTTGTAAGATTCTCTTTTAAAATATTCTTAAGTTCTTAATTCTTAAAAAGTTTCTTAAGGAAAGTCCCAAAATTTTAGAGTTTGAGTCAAAATTTCTTCCACCTTGCTTGCACGGATAAAAGAATGTTTAACTCCAGATTGATAAGAGTTAGAAGGTTGAGATAAACACTATTTAATTGCAAAATTTTGATTCTCTTTTGAGACAGTGTAATTACAACATGTACAGTGTAATTACAATCTAGAAAGTACTCCACTAATGTGGAAAATTTCATTAAAAAAGTCACTACTTCTCCCTGAATCGGGAGCCATCGTGAATCTTTGCTAAGCATCGAGCAACAAATATCAACAGCTGAAAAAATCGTAACACTAAATCCACAAACAATGGAAACATGTGCCGACTAGCAACGGAAAGAGAATAAGTGACTTTATTACTGCCAAAAATCTCAACAAAACGCCAAATGTTTCTTATTTTTGACGAATTTTCTATTCGAATTTTCTTCTGCTGGACCAGACCGCAAGCAAACATGCCCAGCTTTAATCCTTTGGGCAAAAGTACACGCTATGGCCTGTAACCGGGAAAATTTTGCTTAAAAACACTTTCTCTCCCACGCTATTGAGAAATGTTCCACCTTTGCTCCGTGTAAAACCGCACTTTTAACTCGAGGTTGAGAAGAGTTTGAAAGTTGATCCTTAACGGCAAAAATGTTGCTCTAAGGCAAGTATAGAAGAGAAAATATTCAATTATGTTCCCGAATTTTGCCCGAATCTTTTAAAATTAAAAAATTGTCATTGTTCTTTTATGGAATTTGTAAGATTTATTTTACAACTGTTTCACTAAAGACTGAAACGGGTTATAAAGTTGGTATTCACACCGTTTAATCATAAAACCTTCGCTTTATCTGGTCGGAAAATTATTTAAATTTTTAACTCAACATTTATTATTTTTTTCTGCCTTCTTTGCATTTTCTTTAAATTTTAACTCAAGATTGAGAAGAGTTACAAAGTTGATCTTGAACTTTTGCTACAAGCAAAGTGTAGAAGAAAATTTCCTCAATTATTTTCGCTAATTCTCTCAACATTTTCTAATTGGAAAATTCGAATTGAGCATTTTCCTCTAATTTCATTTGATGGATTTCTTTCTCTCTGGTGAAAGTATTTCATGAAACGTCGATTGGGTTTAGAAATCAAGTTTTATTAACAATCTTTTCTCAACATTTTTAATGTGCGCGAACTTTATTTTGAGAAGAGTTCAAACGTTGACATTCACGATATTTAATACCAAAAAATTTGCTCTAAGCAGAGTGTAGAAGAGGATTTTGAACTCAAATTTGAAGACGGTGATTCTGATTTTCTTTTCATCTCATTTGTCAGATTTATTCCGTAGACTTAAACGACTCAGAACATTCACATTTCCATCATTCCAGAAAGAAAATGTGCCTTTCGTAGGGCCTGGCAAGAAAATGTATTGAAAACGTTTTTCGCTCTTTGCAGATCAAAAACGTTTGATGTTTAGCAAATTTTGCAAATGCAAAACAGTTTTTCTTTCATCAAAATACAATTTCCAATTCCACTTGTAGCTACCAGGAGTAGGCAATTAAGGCCGTTCGAAACTAATTAAGGCTCTTACGATGGATATTGCAAAAGATGGAAAATTTCCCGATTCTTTTAGCGAGTTTTTCGCGAACAAAGTCAATCCCATCCGTCTTTCGTTTCCAGTTTCCACTTTATTCACGTACGGAGCTCGAGCTGCAATACTTTAAACCCTCCGTCGTTTTGCTAAAGAATACAAAACTTAAAGTCGATCAAATTCGCTGCCGAGTAAAACTTTGCCGCCCTAGTGAAACTAAATCGATTGGATTCTATATTATTAGCGCGTTAGTCTGGAAATTTTCCATTGGTTTTGTTCCGATTTAGTTGGCTAAACATTGTCACGGTTGAGCAATTTACATGCAGCTCTTCGCAGTGCATTAATTGACCGCACCTGGTAGACTGCACCTGTGGTTCAAATCCATCTTGGCTGCCATGGCTACTGCCAGATTCCACCAATCAAGTGCATGGGAATTGGCGGTAATGACTAGCTGGTGTTACGAGGGATGTTCATAACTTATTAGTTCCTAGATCATTTCCATCAACTGGAACTGTTATTAAATTGTTCTGCCACTGATAAAGTCGATAAAACCTCTTGAAGGAAACGAGCGCAAAGGTTGGCCCAAGACCTGAACACGCTGATTATAATTCTCAATGAAGGCTTAATCCGCCCATCTCCGCCTCCTCATTCCCTTAGCGCAACGAACTTTTGAATGATTAACTAAGCAGGTAACGGGAATTTTAGAAATAGTTGGGAATCCGCAGTTTCCACCTGCCTCTAACCAATTAACGAGCCCGGTTAAAACGCTAATTTATTGTTTTTGTTCTTCGGCGTCAGTTTTTAGCTCATTTGCGATTCCTCAGTTACTTTAGAAGTGAAGTAGTTGGCAAGTTGTTAAGGGTGAAGGTGAATTGGGAGTAAATGCCGCAGTTATTTACTGAACAGTTTGAACGGGTGAAGAGTTTTAATTGTTCGTCTGCTTGTTTGTGTGAACAAGTGTCCGAGAGATTGGGACATTGTGGAACCTCTCAGAAGGGGGTCCTGATCCCGACGTCCTCATAAGTTTGAGCAGATAACAGCATTTTTCTCCTTCTCCAACTCGGGAATTAATTGGCGATAATGTGCAGGCAGTCATTTCCAGTAAAACCGATATCAGACGACGAGAATAG